ATTTTGATAAATTTTCCCCTAGTTCTCATCAGAACTGGGATGATGAATAGTGTGGATGGGAATATTCAGTGCATGGGCAGATTGTGTAGGTAAATATCATCTTTATTAAGATGCATATGGTTTAAAAAGTAGTTGATATGAAATTTGATAAACATTATTGGGTAGGTAAATGTCATCTTTATTAGGATGCATACTGTTTCAAACAGTTGTTAATATGAAATGTGACAAACATTAACAGCGTGGTTTGCATAAGGTTGCAACCTTTAACAATCAAATATGGTCAACCTTTGAAGTTTGTGAAGAGATCAGTTGCGGAGTGGAAAATTAATTATTAGGATGTTGTGAGAATTTAATTTATTTTTAATTATAAAATGTTAGAATTCAAAAATTGTTCAAATCAAGCATATATGTAAAATGCATGAGAATCTCAAGGACTATTTTTAGGACTTTGAAATATCTTTTTCGCGCATGTATATCTTTACGAGATGGTCAATTAGATATTTTTCCAACATCAAAAACAACTTTTTTCTAAGGATTTCATAGATCCATTGTAATACTATATTTTAAGGTGTCAACCTTATATGAAGGTTTTCGAAATATAAGACATGGTTTTCCAAATATAAAACCTTACATATGGTTTTGCGGTTTTCCAAATGTAAGACATGGTTTTCCAAATATAAAACCTTACATGTGGTTTTGCGGTTCTTCAAATGTAAGGGATGGTTTTCCTCATATAAAACCTTACATATGGTTTTGCGATTTAGTCCAGGTGTTTTGACTTATTTGAGTTGAGTAGATTAATGGTAGCCATTGCCAAGATTCATATTTGCCTTTTGTTTATGCCCAATTTTTAATCTATGCAATAATTGAATATTCCTAGTGTTAATCGTCCATAATCAAATTTTGCAACTGCTAAATTTTAGAAGATGCGGTAGGTATCTAACAAAGAAATTACAGAATGATATAACGAGCCGTAACCAATGAAAAATTACTTTTGGAACAAGATTCTACCCTATTTTTTTTTGGTGCAGTTGGCATGCTGATGCATCTGTAGATGTAGAGGTAAGGTGCACCTTCAATTTTATCATGGTATATAAATTTGATGTAAAATGTTATTAGGATGATCTCAAAATCTATTTTTATATCTAGTCATAAAAATTTAAATTTTCAAATATGGTTAAAATTAAGTAGATCTATAAACATATGAAAATCTTGAAAAGGATGGTGTAGAAATATGTTGTAAAATACACTATTTTTGAGATTTAAACTTTTTTTATTTTTCATGGTCATATATCTCGATGTCGAGATGATCAATCAAAGGGTTTTTCAACATTAAAACTACCTTTTTCGATGGATTTGTGAGGTGCATCCGTAGCTAAAAAGGTAAGGTTGCAACCTTAAACTGTTTCTGTTATTTTTTTTTTAGCTAAAGATCGATGTCTACTTGGGCGTGGAAGCAGAGTATGGTTCTCATAGATAGATAAAGGTTTATCTAGTATATGCCGGAAGAAAAAAAAATTTAGGTGCAAGTGATTTCTAAACTTTTATTCTTTTTATAGTTCAGCAAATGTCAAATGCCATAGAATCTGTTGTGTGAAATTCAGCACTGGTGATAAAAAAAAATTAGATTGCCTTGAGTAAGATTCGAAGCTATTCAGGAGTAAGTCTTGAGCTCGAGTGGTTAGCCATGTCGCAATGTGTATTGTGGAAAAATTTAATTAACCTTGTCCCAATGTTCACAAATCACAAGAGCATCACTTATTGTGGATGGATTATTTGACAGTACAATAATAATTATTTATTGAAGAGAAATTTTTTATCAAAATATTAGAGTAAATAGACTTAGGTGGGTGAGTCATGTGCAGCATAGACCCAACAAAGTTTGCAAAGTTGATTGCACCCTTGGATCGATTTGGAAGTGGCCTATTTCAGTTAAAATGCATACTTTTCTTTGGGTGGCCCTTCAAGGCAAATGCCTCATGGTTGATAATTTGCGTAAAAATGGTAAAATCTTGCCAAACATTTGCTTGATGCACAAAAGTGATGAAAAAACTCGCATTCATCTTTTCTTACATTGTCCATTTGCTGTTTGTTTATGGTATTGGACTTTCTCATTGTTGGGATTTTTCTTTATGTTACCTATAAGTCTCATCACAGTCTGATTAACCACCTCTCTTCTCCTGGATTGCCAAAGAAAGGTGTGACCATTTGGAAATTTTTTAGAAGTGCTATGTTGCGGCATATTTGGTTAGTACATAACATAAGGGCTTTTGATGGGGTCTCTTTAAGTCTTGAGGGGGTAAAAGACCGTATTTTAAATTCCTTATGGAATTGGTTCGCTTGCACTACAGATGGTTTGGGTGTTTTTTGGTCTGACATTTATGTTAACCTGTAAAATCTGGTATTTTCCTACTCTTATGGTCGTCTTCATTGGATCTGGAAGTTTCCTCGGGATGGCTCCCTCAAACTCAACTTTGATGGAAGCCCTTTCGGTAATCCAGGTGTATTCTTTGTAATCATGATGGGCAGGTTCTTTTTTTTTATGCTGGCCCTTGTGGCAATACCACGGCCAAATGTTGTTAAATGGTGTAGACATTCTTTTAGAGAGTGATTATTTGAATGTTGTTAAATGGTATAGACAAAGAGCAAATGATCCCTTGGTCTTTACAAACTTTTTGAATTAATATTGATGATCTTTGTGCTTTGCCTAGTTGCGCGTATCCTTTTGCATACCTACCGTGAACCTAATCATGTAACGGATGAGTTTGCTAAGCTCGGTGTTTCTCTTCAAACTCTACTTGTTTCTTCTGCTTTGATATTGACATTGTAAGCTCATACTGTTTCAGCATTCATCTAATATTAGCTCATTGCATTCGTCAAAAAAAAGAAGAAGATTTGTACAACTAATCTCAAATAGTTAAGATTTTGATAATGATAAACTATAACCAGATTATCTTTTTTTTTTGTTGCTAGACCTACCAATGATTAAGAATTAAAAAATATAAAAATATTTCCCTTTCATCAATGAGAATATACATGAATGGTTAACATCGGCTAATTTACAAATCTCCCTCATGTTTAACTAAAAACAAGTTTCAAGGATCCCCAAGATTCAATAGTTTCCATCAGGTATGCAAAATTAAAACTTTATAGATGCTAGAACTCCCAGCTCAAATTTCTAGCTTCTAATTGTCAAGCAAGCCCTAGACCAAAATCAATTTCAAAAGCTCCTACTTTGCTATCATTTTCCCTCTTCCATTCTCATCTTTTCCCCGGCAAAATATTTGTTAAAGAGCCAAATCCAGACCACTGCTCGAGTCACGATGGGAAAAAGCAAGTCCCATACTCTGATGTCCTTGATAGTTGCAGTGAAACCAAAAAACTGGTAGATTGAAATTCTCTCTTCTTCCTACAAATCCAATGGTAGATTGAAATTCTCCCCTTCCTACAAAATCCAATGGTAGGTTGAAATTCTGGCCTTCCTATAAAATCTAATGGTAGGTTGATATAGAAAGGTCGTAACCTAGTGCTGGTCCAGCCTAAAAAGGCTCCTGAGAAGGGTGGGCTGAAAACAGTGATAACCTTTGGCTTATGCACAAAATTGCCGCTCTCAAGACTTGTATCTGCAAATTACGAAAACAACTGCAATCCCCTCCATTCGTACTGGAATCCATTCTCTCACACCTTCCTCACCATTTGTACTCTTTGCCTCCTCATCACTGCTGCTTGCTGGTTTCTTCACCCTCCAACTTTGTTGCAAATACTTATCGAATTCTCTATTATCTTCGAGATGCCCTTTTGTCACAAATATCCATCAAATAGAAGCCCACACAAAGCGCATAATTTTGGTGAATGTATGCTTATCGTACCAGGAAAATGGAGATCACTTTTTTTTGCATTGTGGGTTTACATTGTCCATATGGGCACTCAATTGATGGCATCCCGGAGACACATGACAAGATATTTCTAATGTTGAATTTGCTAGGAGTGCCTTGGTTGGACAATTGATATGGAAGATCATGAGAGCCTCTATTGTGTAGGAGATTTGGAAGCAGGCAAACAAGACCTTTGAAGTATCAATGTTGAAGATGGACATCATTGAGAATAAAATGGTTCATAATTTGTGGAGCTGGTTCTCGGCGAGGACGAGGTACTTCCAAAGTGGATGTCATAGTTAACCTAAAGAATTTACTACAACACGAGCCAATATTAAAGTGAGACCAAAAGGCAGATGGTGCATAAAATTGAATTTTGACGGCAGCTCAGAAGTGAACCCTGAGCCAGCTGGAGGTGTTTTTGGAGACTCAACAGGGCAGTTGTTCTTGTCATTTTGTGGACCTTCTGGAGTTTCCACCACGAATAAGGCTGAGCTGACTGTAGGGTTACAAGGCTTACAAATTATTATGGAGAATAATGTATCGTGTAGCGGAAGGAGATTCCCTAAATGTCATTAACTCATATAATAATGTGAGTCGACCTCCATGGATGGTTAGGCTTGTATGGGCTGAAGTAATGGATTTATGTGGAATTATAGAGGGGTCTTTCCAACACGTCTATATAGAGGCCAATGATATTTCAGATACTTCGGCTAAAAAACTAGCTTCAAATTCTTTGTTTGTTGCAAATGGATTGTTGTCATGATGTAAATGTAATCTCTATATGAGGCAACAACATTTTATGATCCTTATCATAAAAATAAAAAAAAACAAGGCTCATAACTTCCAACCTGTCAAAAGCTCACACAAACAGTAGGGTCCAAAACCCTGGGCATTGTCTCAACTCCCAGGCTTTGGGTTCCAGGGTCCCACATTTCCCCACTTAAAAGACTCAAGTTTTCATGGGGCCATTACTAGGCTTTGTTAATGGGGAAAAGAATCCTACTTGCAATTTTGGTTAGGAGCAACACAGAAAACAAGAGTAGTCCATGTCGGGTAGCTTAGAAATGTTGACAAAAACAGCCACTATTCCAAAAAGACAAATGGATAAACTTTGAAAAAATAGATGAGCAAGTGAGAAATGTTTAATATGAAAAGAGGTAATTAACATAACAGAGCAGCCATACAAAACGTCATCGCAGATACTTACATTATCTGTACATAATACCCCTAAGGAACAAATCTTACAGCTTCCTGAAGTCATTGCATGCCGACATAAGAACCACAGGAGATCAACCCAAGCATTTTCTAACCACTGAATCATACAAGCAAGCACAACCATTACTTCAGTTTCAAACTTAACATCTTTCAACATGTTCCATTTCATTGTTCTCTTGCATGTCATCGGACCCTCGTAGGTTACAAAGAAGAGAATCCCTCCCACTCAAAACAATCTGGAAGAAACCATTTACCTGTTTACTTACGAGATCAAGACCCTGAGCAAGCCGGTTCACAATCTCTCCCATCTCTTTCACAGGCTTATGCAGTGACTCGGTTTCTATTTCACCAACATCTGAGTGATGGCACAGATTCTCAATCATCATATTGAGGTCGATAACACATCCATCAATGAATTCCATTTCTTTGATAACAGTAATAGACCCTGCTGAGTATAACCTCCTGATTTCACCATTAATACAGGTTTGCAGATCATTGAACGGAGAAGACCATAGCAACTCATCAGGGACATGCAAGTCAATTAAAGGACCGGATGAGCCAGAGAGGGCAGCTGTAAATACAGTGCAAACAAACACTGTTTGAGCCTTGAATCCATACATGGCCCTCAATAGAACTTTCTCTTTGCTAGAGGCTTTTAATTTGGTCGAACATAGAAAACCAGCCAGTTCCCGTAAGAGCACAGAGCAGCTCTCAAGCTTTGAATTTCTTGGTGAAGCTGTGCATAATGCTTTCGACCCAATTAGGTGCATCCATTCAAGAAGGGAATCATGGGCACGAAACAACTTATCGGTTGAAGAAAATCCAACCGATAAGTCCAACACATGCAAGATATAGTTGAGTATAAGCAGGCCCTGATCCAGTTTTGAGATTTCGAAAGTCAACGCTATGCAAATGTCAAGTAATTTTGCACTGTCTTCCAAGTACGCATGCATCCATTTCTCGTCCCAGCCAGATGTGGGAAACTGAAGATCTGTAATGAGGGTCTTGATGTCAGTGTGGGTTTCCGATAAAGTCTCCATTGCCAGTCTCATCCAGGAGAGGGTCAGAATATCTCCTGTCTCCCTTGGCATCAGCTTCATAATTCTATCAGCTAAGCGTGCCTCAAAGGCTGTCAACAAGGGGATAGGTTTTGGGGAGAGCGGAGAACGCTTGGGACGCCTCATCTTGAAGGGATTTCCAAAGGGGAAGGAAGGATGATGCCCATCATGTGGACGGCTCATGGTTTAATCTATCTGAAAACCATGAAGAAGTGCTTATAAAATATAGGAAGGTTAAAGTTAAATAGGCGTCGACTTATATTACCTGCAAATATGTGGCCTTTTTTTGGGTTGCATTCCTTAGATAAGGGAAAACTATATTTGATCCAGCACAAATACTACATGATCAATATCAAAATGCTCATTTCTTTGTGTAGATTGAAAACCAAGTAACATTATCCAAAAAAACAAAAAAAAAAAGAAAAAAGAAAAAAAAGCCTCCCCTCTGGTACAGCCATCTAGAGGTAACCCCAATTATTAAAAAAAAAAAAAAATACTCTTTGTTCTGTTTTCTTTGTGCACCCTCTGTTTCCCCTCTATTTCCCCTCTTGTACAGTCATCTAGAGGTAACCCTGTATTTCCCCCTGTATCTCTCTCTGCGTACCCTCTTTTTGGCTTCCTTTTGTCTCTTCTCACAAGTCAAAAGTTCTATTTCATATTTTCCACTTTATTTGATTTGATTATTGGATTTGAATTTTGAAATTTTAAATAAATTAAAATATAATATTAGCATATGAATAGATATTCTTTATTTGAAATAATCTCATTCATATCTATATATATGTAGCCATTGTATTATATATACACTATGTTAGTACCTCAGATGTTTCATATCCATTTTACTCTCAGAACATATTCTATAACATATTGTAGAATGAATATACATAGTATGGAATATGAAATATTCTATTTTATTCAACAACAATATAGTAAATTGAAGGGAAGACATGACTCAAAAAAAAAAAAAGGATTACTTTCCCTTAAAATCCAAAAATGTGAGCCCTAACCCACAGATTTCGCAACAAAGCATGATGGGATTTGGTTTAAGAAACAGCTTCCTATTTTAACAAAAAATGGGAAGCCATTTTGTTACCATTAGAATAGTATTTTTTCTCCAATGGGTCAAAATTGTTAAATAGGATTCCAATTGGGTTAGTGTGCGATTCCAAAAAGGTAGGAATCTCGAATCCCATTTCGATTGGAGTGTGACGCATGATTCCCAGAAAGTAGGACTCTCAGTTCTTGCGATATGCATTTCATGGACGGTGATTCCATCAATAGAGATTGTCTAGCTGTCTGGGATTCTTCGCTTCCGATTCCTAAATCGATTATGAATCTTAAGCATTTCCAACATGTACTCCATCCATCTTTATGTAATCTAGGTTCATGACAGGTAAATCACAAGCAAAGTGCCCATCACTTGCAGTAAATCGTTATGGACATTATGAATTTAATTTGAGGCTCATCTGGTTGACTGCAAAACATGTAACCGACTCATTGTCCATTTTTAACTACTCTCCTGCTGCCCCCCACTTGTTTTACATTTTCTAAATTTTAATCATGCATTCATACATTACCCAAGAAGTTCATACAAATAAGACGCCTTTGTTGTTAAAAATGTAAATGACACCAGGAAGTGGTAGGTTGCAACAGGAGATGAGGAAGTTTTCCTTGAAAAGGGCTTCGCCTGGAGCCAAGTTTGTGAGGCCTCTGGACCCCACTGACCCCTATATGAGCCTCTTAACTGCAATAACTAAGGAAGGGGTTGAGGAGAGTGAGAGAGGAGGGGTATGACTATGAGGATGATGGCTTGGCATCATTACCAAATTCGGAAGCATCTGCTGGTGGTTGTAGAGATTGGAGATAATGTTGGTAGTGATTGTGAAACTACACTATCAAATTTGAGTTCATCGGATTTGTTGTCTTGTTTTGAGTTTTGCTGGTTAAAGTTTTTGAGTTTTGACTTTTTGTTAGTTGCGACTCTTGTGACGTGTGTTGTACTTTTGTTTTGCTAATGACAATGTCGATTGTTGACTATGGTCCCATGTCATATGGTTTTAAAATGTGGCCGCATCGCCGCGTATGCAGCCGCATCATGCGGAATGCGCTCACATCTGCATCAGAAACAGGTGCATATGCGCTTTTGACAGATGCGGCCGCATATGCATCGCATCAGGCCGCATCGTAGCCCCATCGCACCGCATCCCAGAACTACAGTGTCTGCCAAAAAAATTTCTGTTTTGCCCCTCGAGGAGGGGAAAAATGGTCTTTTTGACCATCTAAATGTGAGGGACACTGTTTAGCGGGGTATTAGGGCCCTAAACAAAGATTTTCAGCCACTTTGGTGCCTTTTTTTGGCAGGGCCTAAACAAAGATTTTCAGCCACTTTTGTGGCTTTTTTTTGCATAAATCAAGGGAAAAAAAAATTTAGGCGGAAATTGTTTTTTCATCGAAATCTTCGATTTGGCGGTTGTTTGATACTTGGATGTTTCATTGGATTTGGGGATATTACGGTGAATTTGTGATAAGAAATCAGGGGTTTCAGAGGCTGTGAAGAAATCGAGCACTGCTTCACAGAGTCGGTAAATTTTTATTCCTTCTTGTACAATAATACTGTTATACTTATTTTTGGGGCGATGTCTTCTTCTCAAGATTCTAGTAATAAGGATCCGACTCGGAAATATGCTAAACTAAAAAATCCGAAAGATAAAAATTGTGTGATATGCTTGCTCTGTGGAAATACTTATATGAGTGGTATTTTTTGACAAAAAGAGCATTTAGCCGAAATTTCTGGGAATGTAAGAGCATGCCCACAAACTACAGATGATATAAAAAAGGAGATTTAGATAATATTTGGATAGATTGAAAAAAGATAAAGAGAAGAAAAAAATGAAAAGAAAAGAATTACTTGATGATATGCAATTATTTGATAATGATGTTGATGATGATGATGATGATGATATCTCTGAAGTTGCTATGAGGCAAAGGGGTACTCATACTCCAACATCAAGAGAGAGGGTTATAAATATTGGTGGTAGTGTTGAGAGAAGAACACCTCTCTCTAAGGGGTCAATGGATGCTTTTTTCACCCCTAGCCCCGAAATTGTGGTTCAGGAGAGAGAAAAAAACAAAACAAACCACAATTGAAAATAGATATAAGAAAAAACAGAGGAAGTCGGTATGTAAGTAGGATTGCAAAGTGGATTTACATGGATTGCAAAGTGGATTTACATGGCTAACATTCCTTTTAATACTATAACTCTGAATAATTTTGCATGTATGGTCCAGGCAATTGGGCAACATGGCCCAGGACTTGTTCTTCCGTCACTACATGAGATTAGGGAGCCCTTGTTGAAGGATGTTGTATTTGATGTGAATAAAATTTTGATTTCTCAGAGAGAAGGGTGGGAAAAATATGGGGCCAATATTGTGTGTGATGGTTGGTCCGATGGGAAGTCAAGGGCATTCATTTATTTTTTGGTTAACTGCCCAACAAGTACTTTTTTTGTTAAGTCTGCTGATGCATCAGACAAGTCACATGATGCTACATACTTACGTGCTTTTATGGATGAGATTGTCGAGTTTGTTGGAGAGCAAACTGTGGTAAAAATTGTCACTGACAATGGCGCCAATGACGCTGCAGCTAGGCATTTACTGACTTTGAAAAGGACGCATATGTTTTGGACTCCTTGTGCAGCTCACTGTGTTAATCTTATGCTTAAGGAAATGGGTACAACATCTTTATTTAGTGGGGTGATTTCAAGAGCTATGTTTGTTGTTCGATTTATTTATAATCACACCATAGTCCTAAGCATGATGAGGTCTTTTACAAAGAAGAGAGAATTAGTGAGACCGGGTATCACTAGATTTGCCACGTCATTTCTCATTCTTCGAAGCCTAGCCAAGTAAAAAAGTGCCTTGAGGATCATCTTTGCTTCAAAGCAATGGAGTCAAAGCATAAGGATGGGAGAAAGGCTGAAAATATTATTCTGAATACATCTTTTTGGAGTCAAATAATTATTGCATTGGAGGTGTCTCGCCTTTTAGTCAGAGTGCTTCGACTGGTTGATGGTGACGCGAAACCCACCATAGGCTACATACATGAGGCAATGACTAGGGCAAGAGCTGAAATAAATAATGTTTTAAAGGATGATGAAACTATGCGCAAGGCTATACTTGAAATTATTGATAGGAGATGGATACCGAGCTTCACAGGCACCTCCATTCAGCCGGTTACTTTCTAAACCCATCACTTCACTACAAGCACCCATCCATTGAGTCATATCGTGTAATAAATGGCGGGTTCTTAGATGTGCTTGAGAGGTTGGTGCCTGATAGAGATCTCCAGGCTGAGATCCAGAGCTATGAATTGATTAAGTTCAAGTTAGCCTTGGGAAACTTTGGGAGAGATATTGCTACTCGAAATAGGGACGCTACAAATCCAGGTAAAGGGCAAAAGTAACCTTACTTGTCTCTAACTTTATGTATAGTTCCATTGTTTATTTGCTTATCTATAATCTAAATTATAAACTATTATACAGCTGCATGGTGGGCATTATATGAAAGCGAGACACCAAATCTACGTCTCGCTATTCGAGTGTTGAATCTCACATGTAGCTCATCTGGTTGTGGACGCAATTGGAGTGCATTTGAGCATGTAAGTCCTTTACTCCTTATTCCTTAATCCTTATTTCTTGAATTTCAATTTTATAATCTAAATTTCTAAATATCTAATTTCAATTTCTACAACAGCTCCATACAAAAAAAAGAAATAGGTTGAGCAGAAAAAGTTGAATGATTTGGTTTATGTGCGGTATAATGAGCAGCTTAGGGAGAGGTATGAAAATCGCATGAAGCTCAACCCTATTCAAATGTATGAAGCTGATGATTATTCTACAGGTAAGTGGACCATGGATCCAAGACAAGAGCGTGTGTTTGTGGGTGAGGATCTTATATGACTTGATTTCGAGCTAGCAACAGAGGATAATGAAGAAGATCGACCTAACACTAGAGCACAAAGAAGTAGAGGAGTTGCTGGGTCTAATCGCACTCGCACATTAGCTTCAGAGGTCGAGAAGGAGGAAGCTGACTCAGAGGAGACTGAGGAAGAAGAATACATGGAGGCCGTCGAGGATGATATTGATGATTCAAATGACGACTCTCAAGACAACTTATCTGATTGATATTTGAAAATT